AAAGAGGGGAGAAAGAGAGAGAGAGAGAACAAAAAAAAAGGAGACAGGAGAGGGGAGGGAGAAGGGAGGAGGGAGAAAAGGGAGAGGGGATAGGGCAGAGAGGCATAAGGATGAGGGAAGAGAGGAGGGAGAGAGAAGGGAAGAGAGGAAGGAGGAGGGAGGAGGGAGGAGGGAGGAGGAGCATGAAGGTAAGAGCCTGAACGTTCGAGGAAGTCCTAGGCGAAAGCGCCGTTCCTGAAGGAAGTCTCGGGCGGGAGCCCACGACGGGCGGGCGATCCCCTGACGGGCGGGTCGGGCGGGTGGGACATTCAAGCGGGATGCCTGAAAATGGCGAGAGCGCGAATACTGTGTAAATTGTAAGGGCGTCCTTGGAGCAGCGTGTTTCCTGAGCGTCGAAAGCGCGATTTCTGAATAAATCGAATGGAAGTCACAGGTGAGAGCGCAATTCCTGAGTAAGATGTGAAAAGTTCTCTGGCGGGAGCGGGGGTCTTGATTAAATTGCGAAGAAGTCTTGATTCAATTGCGAGGAAGTCTCAAGCGGGAGCGCCGTTCCTGAGTAAATTGCGAGGAAGTCTCAGATGGGAGCGGGGGTCCTGACTAAATTGCGAGGGAATCACACGCGGGAGCACCGATCCTGAGTAAATTGTGAGGAAGTCTCAGGAGCGGGCGTCCTGAATAATTTTGGAGGGAGTCTCAGGCGGGAGCAGTTGTTGTTGTAATCCGGGGGGCCAGGGGCCCAGCTTGAGCACCAAGACTTTCCCTGTCAAAAAACAGGATGCATGCGTCGAGGGGCACGATTTGATTGAGAAACAACAACATGCACCAGCAAGGAGGGATCAACAAAAATTATTCGTCATACCTGAAAAAAATAAACAACAACAACAACAACAACAACAACAACAACAACAACAACAACAACAACAACAACAACAACAACAAGAACAAGAACAAGAACAAGAACAAGAACAGCAACAACAACAACAACAATAACAACAATAGCAACAGCAACAACAGCAGCAACAACAACAAGAACAACAACGACGACGACAACAAGAACAACAACGACGACGACGACGGAAACACAACAACAACAACAACAACAACAACAACAACAACAACAATCCTTTTTGCCCACATGCGCGATGCTTCCACACGAAGCATGCGACCATCACGATAACCATCCACGTAATGGGGGACCCTTGTTTCATCGCGGGGTCCGATATTCCCATCCCCAGATCTCCCGCCCAATGAGGTCTTGCATTGCAAACACTTCCTCCGAGGAAATTCAACATACCCCGCCTCGAAAACACATGCCCGCGCCTTGCTGCGCCGAGGCGAGACCGCCAGTGGAACCCCAGCGAAGGGTAAAGCACAAGGAAGTACCGAACGACAGGACTGCCTTGGTGGGGATGGGGGGTGTCGGCGGTGAGGTAAGGACCTGGCCCTGAATAGAAAGGGAGGAAGTCTCGAGCAGGGTTGCTGTTGCGATTGGGAGCGGCGCCAATGCTGAAGAGGATATGGCGCTAGTCCAGCGTAAAACAAAACGAAGTCTCGGGCGGGAGCGCTGGTTTTGCCGGGGCGGCGGCTTTCGGCGGCGAGGAGGAACACCGCATTGAATAAGAAGGGAGGAAGCATCGAGCGGGAGCCGTGGTTTTGTCGGGACGGCGGCTGTCGGCGGCGAGGAACAGCACCGTCTTCAGGAAAAAGGGAGGAAGCCTCGAGCGGGAGCGTTGTTCTTGCTGGGAGCGGCACCAATTAAAAAAAGAGTTGGGCGCCAGTCCAACGTAAAACGGAAGGAAGCCTCGGGCGGGAGCGCTGGCTTTGTCGGGGCGGCGGTTTCGGCGGCGAGGAGGAACACCGCCTTGAGTAAGAAGGGACGAAGTATCGAGCGGGAGCCGTGGTTTTGTCGGGACGGGGGCTGTCGGCGGCGAGGAACTGAGGGCTTCGGTGGAGCTCCCTATGGGGCCACGAAGCGCTCTACTGAGTGAGCGAAAATGCCAAATTGGGTTACTGGGACGCATGCGGACGGTCCCACTAGGGGCTTCGGAGGAGCCCTTATGGGGCCACGAAACGCTGCACTGCGCAGGTGAAAATGCCAAATTACATTTCCCGGACGCCTACGGACGGTGGCACTGGGGCCTTGGGTGGAGCCCCCTTATGGGGCCACGAAACGATACACTGGGTGGGTGAAAATGCCAAATTGGACTTCCGGGGCGCATGCGGACGGGGGCACTGGGGCCTTCGGTGGAGCTCCATATGGGGCCACGAAACGCTGTACTGGGTGTGCGGGACGCATGCAAACGGTAGCGCTGGGACCTTCGGTGGGGCTCCCTATGAGGCCACGAAACGCTGTACTGGGTCTGCGGGACGCATGCGGACGGTAGCACTGGGACCTTCGGTGGGGCTCCTTATGGGGCCACGAAACGCTGTACTGGGTGGGTGAAACGCAGAAAGGAAGGGGAAGAGGGCCACGAAACGCTGTACTGGGTATGCGGGACGCATGCGGACAGTAGCACTGGAACCCTCGGTGGAGCTCCCTATGGGGCCACGAAACGCTGTACGTACTGGGTGTGCGGGACGCATGCGGACGGTAGCACTGGGACCTTCGGTGGGGCTCCCTATGGGGCCACGAAACGCTGTACTGGGTGTGCGGGACGCATGCGGACGGTAGCACTGGGGCCTTCGGTGGGGCATGGGGCCACGAAACGGTGTACTGAGTGGGTGAAACGCAGGGAGGAGGAGGAGGAGGAGGGCCACGAAACGCTGTACTGGGTGTGCGGGACGCATGCGGACGGTAGCACTGGGACCTTCGGTGGAGCTCCACATAGGGCCCCGAAACGCGGTACTGGGTGCGCGGGACGTATGCGAACGGTAGCACTGGGACCTTCGGTGGGGCTCCCTATGGGGCCACGAAACGCTGTACTAGGTGTGCGCGACGCCTGCGGACGGTAGGGAGGAGGGGGGGGGCACGAGAGGAGGAGAACGCGGGGACCGTCTCTTCAAAACGAGGACCCAACACCACAGGATGGTTGGGAAAAAAATATCCTGGCGAAGATCCCAACCATACGCAGTTGTGGGTACCGTAATTGTGAATATCTGCTTCGGTGCAGCTCCATATGGGGCCACGAAGCGCTGCAGTCGGCGAGGTAGAACGCTGTACCGTGTGGGTGGTGTGCCAAATTGGGTTTCCAGGACGCATGCGGACGGTCCCACTAAGGGCTTCGGTGGAGCTCCCTATGGGGCCACGAAGCGCTCTACTGAGTGAGCGAAAATGCCAAATTGCATTTCTGGGACGCATGCGGACGGTCCCACTAGGGGCTTCGGAGGAGCCCTTATGGGGCCACGAAACGCTGCACTGCGCCGGTGAAAATGCCAAATTACACTTCCCGAACGCATACGGACGGTGGCACTGGGGCTTTGGGTGGAGCCCCCTTATGGGGCCACGA